ACCTTCATATTTTGAAAATTAGCTTCACTCGTTTGATGATCATCCAACAGACGGCAGACACGATGCTTAGGTGTGGTGCTTTGAAGGACTTGCATGCCAAGAGCAAAAATATAATAACAGGAAATATCCTTTAAGATGTATAAGCACCGCTCTGTCTTCCAAACTCTTAGAAAATTGAAGGCGTTATGAAAATGTTCAATGACAACAGTTTTAGGATTCAAAATCATTTGGAAAGAGAAAAGTTTTTATAGAGGCTTCATTTCTTTTGTTAAAGGATACCCTTTGTGGTTATTACAGGCAAATCTGACTGAAGGGGTTAAAAAGAAGACTTTAATCTATGCGCACAAAAAGGAAACCAAGCAAAAACCTTTTAAAAAAGAAAATAGCCACAAGGCCGAGCTGTGTTGTACAACATGCCGAAACATCTGGAAGTTAAGACATGCTCCTGAGTTGTGGAGTGAATCTACCTCCTAACTTGTGCATTGCTGGTAATAATGCAACCAGTATCAGTAGCAGTAGTAACAACAACAACAACATAAAAACATACTGGAGAATAGCAAAGTTTATATATACCTCTTTCTCAGGCAAACAAACACACACTTTTGCAAACACACAAAACGTTGGGGCTGTTTAGTATAGACCAAAAGGTTATTAAGGGAAGGGTGAGGAAAGAGAGAAGCTACTTGAAGGACTGTATCTCCCCATATGACCCTTCTTGCTGCTTAAGATCATCAGAGGAGGATCTCCTCTCGGCCTCATTGCTAGCACAGGCATGGTTGATGGGGATGCGCGAGAGAGTTTTCTTGGTGGCTGAATGCTCTTCCTCCCTTTTATCCTTCCACTGACAGGTGAAGACCCACCTTTTCAGGAAGGCTTCTAACAGCCATGACAGAGGTCCTGAATGCCATGTTTAAGTAAAGATAACTTTTACTGTTTTACCAGTTTTTGATTATTCAATTATATTTTAATCAGTTCCAGAGTTTTCTTTTTAAATGTGTAACTTACTAATTCTATTCTTTTTTAATATTGTGAGCTGCCTTGGATCCACACGTCAGGAGAAAGGGGGCCTACAAATAAGATAAATTAATAAACTAAATAATGCTGTATAAAATGATGGACAGGTTCCAGGGAGTGGGGCCAGAGCAAAATTTTCTCCCTTCATCCAACTCAGCTGAAAATGCAGAACCATCTAAACAAAGTACTTCTCCGAACAACAGAAAATGTAATGACGGAATTTACTGCCACGAGACATGGTCTCCAATTTGAAAAGGCAAATTCATGGAGGAGAAGGCCTATTAATGGCTTCTGGCTGCAGCGACAACGTATCGTATCCAGCTTCAGGGTCAGCACGATTTTGAGCACCAGTGCCCAGAGAAGGGCAGGAAGTTGTGATTGTGTTTTTATGGTTTCTGTAGGTATGTGTTGTACATCACCGGACGAATGCACTCTGATAGCGTGCTAGACGCTTGTGGCAGTACTCCGAGCCCCAACCACCCAAAACATGGCCAACAGTCAAACATAGAGACAATCATTTCTTTAATATTTTCATTTACAGATATAAAAATAAATAAGGCAGGTCAATCTGGTGCAATAAATCCTGTACTGAAAATAAAGTCGGACTGGAATGACAGTGACAGGAGCAATTACGTGGCTTGGTGGTGAGACAGTATATTTAATGCTTAACGGTCAGTAAAAAAAAAGTTTTGGGCTTTCTCCTTTACATTTCAGAACATATACATAAAATCCCTCCTAGCTAACTTAAGATATCCGCACAGCTTCAAGGCTGGTCTACAAAACTGAGTCACAAAGGCAGAGGAAACTACATAGAGGAGCAAACCAGGCCTTCAGCACTGATAGGAAGGCAGTGTCCTCCACTGATCCTGAGGTCAACAGGCTAGTTTAGACTATGGAACATGGGCTGTGTGAGGCATACACACTTCTGTAAAAGGAGGGCAGCCAGATAACTCCAAGAGAATGGTTCGGAAGCTGACACTCAGCACCTACCATCAGCTACCTCTGTAATATACGGAACATCTTCAGCAATGGTTTATGCTTGGAATATAAGATGTGGGAATGCATTCCTCATGACTTAAGAGTAGATGATGAGGATTTCACACAATACATCTTTATACACCCAGGAGGTTATTTTGTTGTGTATCACAATAGGGCAACAGCCACAAATAAGAATAAAACTGGGCAATTCTAATGGACTCAAAAGTTTCTGGTGTATTCTAGAGCATGATCCATTTATCTACTGTATATTCTGCTCTAGTACCATGATGGAGGCACCAGGTGATGCTTCTACGAGATTCCAAGGTGGTCTCCCATCCAGATGTACATCCTAGCTTCAGCAGGCTTTCTCTGTCTTCACCTGGATTATCAAAAGTTGTACCTTTCTTGGGAGGGGCTGTTGGCGAGCGATAAAGCCAGGCAGACTAGAGATCTGGCAGCTTTCTAATGCATCCCATCTCAGGCTCAAGGACGGAGTCCCATCATTGGAAAAAACTCGAACACAGTTATTTGTGGAGACCAACATCAAAGCAGGAATTCCAATTCCAACAGTGCATATTCCATTGGTGGGATGAACATGCTTTTTCTAAGCAGGGCTCCAGGTTTCCATAACAATGACTTCTTCCCCAGTCCCTTTTTGCAACTGTAACATACCATCTCCAATGGACTACCTACCATAGATTATCCATCTGTGACTTTCTGACATGCCAGAAACCACTTCCGCTTATTTTTCACACAAACAGCCATGATGGTCTGTTTCAGCAACAACAATAGAATCCCCCCAACATCATTATGGCACCTTTGCAATAAACACATTTATTTCAGTGTGAGCTTCCACAGATGACAGTCCACTCCTTCATATATGGAGAAGGCCATCCATGAATGTTCGCAGCGAAATGGACTGGCTTCTCTTAAAGGCACCACAGAATTCTAGTAATCTAGTATTTCTCCAAAACCCCTGATCTCTCTTTCCTCCAACTTGCTGTAAATAACAAATAAAAAAAGATGTCTGTAAACATAGAAACATCCATGTTGGACAATGTGTTCTGTTTCTCTTGCACAAGGGCTTGGATTCTTTGACCCAGTGATTCTTGAGACATAAAGCAAACAAGATGGAGAACTGTTGCCTTAAACGAGTGGTTTCCAACTTTGGGTCCTCAGATATTCTTGGACTTAAACTGCCAGAAGGCTTCACCACTAGCTATGCTGGCCAGGATTTCTGGGCATTGTAGTCCAAGAACATCTGGGGACACAAGGTTGGGAACCACTGCCTTAAAGCACATTGCTCAATATTGGACATATATTAAAGATTCACCCTCCATCTTTGTGAGGCAAACAAACTTCTCCAAAGCTAGGAGCAGAGTATGTCATGGGAAGAGTACATGCTGCTTTTCTGCTCCATCGACACCTGTACATGTGGGTCTCTGTGGGTGTGCACACAGGCAAGAATACAGCAAGAGAGCAGTTAACAAAATATAGAAGTCTTCCATTTTAACACCAAGGTTGTGTATCCAGCTCTACACAAATGAACAAGGAACTGACACCATTTGTTAAGTTTCTCCCAAAAGAAATGCAAAACCTGGCCATGAGACCCAAGAGAGGTTCACTAAGTTTCCCCGCAGGGAATGGAAGAAGACAGCTGCCTCTTCAGACATCTCTCTGCACCATGAGTAGTGCACAGCTGGAGGCCCATGTGATGGGACCTCTGGGTGACTTTGGGAACATCTCCTGCCTGTTTTGTGATGAGAATCAAAGATGATCGTCCACTCCACCCCACCCTGCCTGATGCATGCAGGCTGTTTTCTGAAGCCATCTGGCTGGAGAAAAAAAAGGGGTAGGTTGGATTCAAAGGGAGACAGACGGTGCAGAAACTTGCTAGTGATGAGAAGAGTCAAATTCAAGTCAAAAGGAGAACTAGCTCATACATAGAGATGGACACTTCATGGTCTTGGGTAACTACTTTGGGGAACAGGGCAGCAAAGCCAGCTGTATGTACAAGCCTCAAAAATGCATTTGCTTAGGATTATGTTTATGAAGGAATGGAATTAATAAACATAATGTTTATTATGTTCACTGGAAGGACAGATCCTGAAGCTGAGGCTTCAAAACTTTGGCCATCTCATTAGAAGAGAAGACTCCCTGGAAAAGACCCTGATATTGGGAACGTGTAAAGGCAAGAGGAGAAGGGGACAGCAGAGGACGAGATGGATGGACAGGGTCATCGAAGCTACCAACATGAATTTGACCCAACTCCAGGAGGCAGTGGAAAACAGGAGGGCCTGGCGTGCTCTGGTCCATGGGGTCACGAAGAGTAGGATATGATTAAAGGACTAAACAGCAGCAACAAATGTTTATGAATTCAGTTATATGCACAACCTTGGTGTTAAAGGATCAATTCATACTGACTCTTCGTAAACTCTGTTTTGAAATGCAATCCACAATTTTGGGACTGAATTTGATCAAAAGCCTTTGGATGCAGAAATCAGCTAAGGAGTGATCCATGCAACTCAACGGTCAAAACTATACGGTGATCATTGGAAAATGGTGGTTTACACATGATTCATGCTATGATGGCTGAGGAGCAAAATTGTAAGGCAAAGCTTAAACTATAGATATAGTCTAACAATCTGGATTATTTCCAGAAAACTTCTGTAATCTAGGAGAGCTGGCCCCTGAGCTTTTGGTGCAAAATGGAGAACCACCACGGCATGGCATTTAACAACAGACAAGCAAATGAAAGCCTTACTGGAGTAGACACAACAAATGATCTGGATCCTGACATGTGGCTTTATCTGCATTTATAACTTAGGGAAAGTCCAGTGTTGCATCTTAGCTGCTGTCAGGTCTTGACTTACAAATCTAGGTTTGAAAGTTTCAGAAGCACCGTCATATAGAAGCTCTCCTCCGAATTCACAAAGAAAATAAATTGCACCTTTAGGCCTTAAGGCAACTCAGCATTATGTAAGGGAAAACTAGTTCAGTTTTTTAAAAAAGAAAAGGAGTGATAGTAGTGGACGTAGCCCTGTTTGGGTGCAAGAAGAAAACCAATGAGGAACCAATGGCAAAAATGACAGTACTTGAGAGAAAGGTGCTGAGAGATTCTGGGCACAGTTGGTCTGGATCTAGGACTACTGCCCTTCTGTTCATCAAGAGATGCGAAGGCATCATTTGGTAGATGCTTCAGGTTCTTGACACAGCAAAGCATCTGACACAGACGGAAGCCACAACCATGGTTGATTGAACTTGTCCTGGACCATACCCAAGCTTTTGCCAGCTGTATTTGAATTAAAACTTTCCAACACAGGCTTCCTGAACAAAATCGTTCTGTTGTCAAATCAGCCCTAAATAAAGCTTTTACGGGTGACTCACGGTGAGCTTCTATGGTGATCGGATCCGAACCCAGGCCTCCTGAGTCCTAGTCCATCACTCTATCCACTCCATAAAACTGGGCATCAATGTTTAACCTTAATACCTCTTCTTCTTGACCATTCATGGAGAGCAAGGCTGCATGTAGACATGGGTCTGCTGACTTGAAGAAGCCTGAATGTGTAATTATACAGTCAATGGTTGTTTCTCAAAGGAGGGCCCAGCCTCACAGCTTACGGTTGACAACTCAAAACCTGTGATGCCCGACATGAGTGACCATGAAGGAAGACGGCAAATTCTATTTTAGTTCTTTATATTTATATATATATATATATGCATGTACCCAAAATTGCCAGTTCCTTCATATCTGGGATGAACTTGAGATATTTGAAAATGACAACACTGGACAGATCTGCTCATTGACGCTCAAGGATTTGAATGCTTCATTGATAAAAGCTCGGGTCTGGATTTAACGTGATTCGTACCCATATATTTAATGGCAACACCTTTTTTCTTCCTCTTCATCATGAAAACATAGAAAGAAACATGGTCATTTCTATGCTGGAAACAGCGGTATGCAATCAATGTGGCCAGTGCAGTGGGCGAGGAATGGTTCCTTTTGGAAGACTCTACACCAAGGTGGTCAACTTCTTCATATTCAGGCTGGAAAGAACTGGAGCTTCTATGCAATGAAATGCATTCCTAATGAGGATGCAGGGTCTTCTGAAGGCTCCACAGACTTTCCGTGGGGGGAGAACTTCTGCATAACCACTCTTTCCTGAGCATTGGAATTCCTAGTAGATGTAACGGTGGGGTTCTGGTACCATTTGAGCCAGCTGGGCACGCAGAAGCTCAGATATGGGAGAAGATCCAAATGTTAGAATGCTTGGCGTCTTGGCATACAAGTAGGTAAAACATTGGAAGCTTGGAAATGGAACACAGAAGCTTCGTCTCAGCTTGCATGGCTTATTTTGGCATGGCCTAAGAGGAGGCAACAGGAAAGCACAGCCATTCATCTGTTCAACAAGAGGAAACCTCTGGCCAAATAATGCGCATGGCGATACCTGGGCAGCAGACAAGTTAAGAGTCAAGGGGGGGTTCCCTGCCATGGAGTTCTTACTGCAACGCCGGGTCTAAAGAAAGGACACTGGATTTCCTTGCCTTCGGAGGAGGAGGGGGAGGCTTGACTTCCCGTCTGGTCGGCAGGGGAGGAGCGACCTGCAAGAATACAAACACAGAGACACCTGGAATCAGATTGGAAAAGTTGTTGTTTTTTTACATCCCAATTCTGGGTGTAATGGAGAGGAGCCTTGTTTCAGAGGAGGGGGTTTCGATTTCATCTGCTGGACTGCCAGCATGGCTGACAAACCCTGCTCCCTCTTGCATGTGAATGAGGTGATAATAAAGCTTTCAAGTAGTGATCTTTTTCCCCCATTTCTTTGGCAGGGTTCCAACTTCCCTCTAGCAATTCAATGACAATACTGCAGGCTAGTCTGCTTTTCTAATTCAAAGGTAAAGGTTGCATTTCAACTGGCTGAAAACCCCAGTGGTGCCTCGCTTAACGATTGCCTCGCTTAATGAGGAAATAACTTGACGATTAGGTTTTTGCAAGCGCAAAAGCAATTGCAAAACAATGGTTTAAATGGGAAAAATCCGCTTCACGATGATCGGTTCCCTGTCTTGGGAACCGATTTCCGCATTACGACAATCTAAAAAGAGCTGATTGTCGGGTTTCAAAATGGCTGCCCGGTGTACAAAATGGCCCCCGCTGTTTTCTAGGATGGATTCCTCGCTTTACATGCACCGAAAATGGTCGCCCCTATGGAGGATCTTCATTGGATGGTGATTTTTCAGCTCATTGGAACACATTGAAGGGTTTCAATGGGCTTTTTTAATTTCGCTTAACGAGGATTTCGCTCTACAGCAATTTCGCTGGAACAGATTATCCTCGTTAAGCGAGGCACCACTGCACTGTGAATAGGAATGTAAACCCTGGGTACTACACATAGCCCTAATCCTGACTCCTGGATCTCCAGACACAGGTGAAAGTGTCTTAGACACTACAGAAGGGCAACACAACTGGGGGCCTGTGATTTTCAGCAGATGGTGCATGCCTTTTGTAACATCCAGTTTCTCCCAGAGTAAGCAGACTTTTCAGAATTACTGAGAAGAATATGACCAACCCCTTTATATATATTGTATCCCCTTACCTCTCCAGAGTTCCTGGAGTTGCTATTCTCATAGGGTTTGCATTTAGGGGGCGGTGGGGGTGGAGTGCTCTGCAAATTAGGGGTTGCTAACCCATCAGTCTGCAATGAAGGGAAACCTGGAGATGAGAAATAGAGGAGAATAAAGGGCAGGTGATTCAAGTTAAAAAGACAGACAATGGGCAGGAGGCAGAGTTCCGATGGAAGCTCTCTTGTGCCATCAGTAATTTGAGGACGGCACAAATACTTCTTTTAGCAGGTGATTGTGAGCCGGCGTGTCAATCTGGAGTCCCGCTTGGTATTCCCCAGGCTTCACATGTCTCCGAGCGTCATCTGTGTGCATCAAATGAACCTTAAGCAGATGTGAAAAATGCGCACCTGGGACAAGGGAAAATGAGATCCAGAATGACACAGAAATATCCAGTGGGCTTTCCTTTCGCTTTGGACTTTCTCCCCTGCAGTCTCGGGGACTCTAATGCCTTCTGAGGGGACAGGAAATCCATTCAAACTTCAGATAAATTCTGAAGGTAATCATCTCAGTATGACAAGCAGGAAGTGAATTAACCAGGTGGGGGACTGGCGGCATTGTTCACTCTTCCTGGATGGCTCTTTTTAAGCCATCAGTTTCGTGTCTCTATTCTGGGTATAAAGTAATGGCCAAGGCAAATGCAGTATGGAGAGACCGGTGGGCATATCTCATGTCAGTTTTGTAAACTGACATATATATTTTTGCAAAAAATATATAAATAAATATAAATATAAATTATATACCCTGTTTCCCCAAAAATAAGACAAAGTCTTATATTAATTTTTTGCTCCATTAAGGTTTATTTTCAGGTGATGTTTTATTTTACAGTCATGTTATCTTCTGGTTGCTGTATGAGGGTGGAAGGTGGGGTTTCACTTAACTAGGGCTTATTTTTGGGGTAGGGCTTATATGACGAGCATCCTGAAAAATCCTACTAGGGCTTATTTTCAGGTTAGGTCTTAGTTTCAGGGAAATAGAGTATATATATATAAATAAACAGGTTTTTGCAAGAAAAAAACACGGCGACTTTAGGTCTTATTTTCGGGGAAATAGAGTATATATAAATATAAACAAACAGGTTTTTGCAAGAAAAAAACACGGTGACCAAAATCCTGTCCATGGACTTACTGGATAATGTCATAATCATGGTAATGCTTAATTAAAACTCATCAACAGCTTCCTACCCTCCCTTTCGTTCTGGTTCTGAGGCTCCCTAAGCCTCTGTTTTGCCTTGGGGAGCCTCCAGACGAGGAGGGAGAAGAACATGCAATAGCTACTGGTTCTCCGTGGTGGTACCAAACCTGACAGTGACAGTCTACTCTTGTATTCTGGCTATCGAAAGTTGCTCCCCCCCCCTCGCAAGGTTCCCAAAGGCAAAATGGAGCCCTAGTAGGCCTCAAAACATAAAGGGAGCTTTTAATTACTTTTCGTTAAATCTTGTCTTTGTCAAATGATGACGCCATACAGTTTCCGCCACGTAACTACGGGAACAGGACACTGGCCAGAATTTGAACAACATACACTCGCAGACGCAGGAAACAAATCCAAGGAGTTTTTACGTGGCGTGAGTATTCCTCCACCGTAGTCCACTTGTTCAGGTGCATCTGAAGAAATGGACTACAGTCCACAACAGCTTATGCCAAATAAAACGTGAACTCTTTAAGATGCCACAAGACTCCTTGTCGGTTTTGCTATAACAGACAAGCACAGCTACCCTCCTGGAAATGATGTAAATAAATTGCATCCGTCTACTAGATTTCCTTCTTAAAATATTCCCAGGCAACATTAGGCATAAACTCAAGTGCTTTTGCTTCACTGGCCTTTTACAAAGCTATGTCTACTGTCAAGGTTTGCATATATAAAGAATTGGAATCCAATCCTCCATTACATCCTGAGCCAGTTATAATAACTGGTGTTAATTACTCCCATATGTTTTTTTTTTCACCATCTTGCCGCGCTTGGATCTCCGAGGGGACGTCTGATATTCAGCAAATAAAATTCTGGGAGCACTTGGACACATATGCAAGTTTCACAGTTCTGAGCATTTCCAAAAACCCAGCGGGCAATCCATCTACTTGGCAGGGCTTCAGACTCCAAAAAGACTGGAGGCAGGAAGCTTCAGCCTTTTTCCAAACCCGTCTCCTTTTCTGCCAACATGCTCCAGCTGTCAACAGCTGGGCCACACCCTGGCAGGCTGCTGGCTTCAGAGATTATGATTCACTTCGAGAATCATGGCATAGGAAAAGGAATAGCCGTCTCACCCTTCCATTTTCCCCCTAGTTTTATCCTTCCCCCTTTTTTGAGGCGTGGGGTGTGTGCATGTGTGTCCAACCTTCATGATTGTGGACAGCAAAACAATACCAAACTAGTTCGATGTGCTGAACAAGTTTTTAAAAAATTTGGTCTAAAATGGAGACATAATCTCCCAGAGGGGAAAAATAAAACCTCTCCTGCTCTCCGTTCAAGGTTTTGGATTTCACTAGAGATAGGGACGTGGTAGCGCTGCAAGTTAAACCGCAGAAGCCTCTGTGCTGCAGGGTCGGAAGACTAGCAGTCGTAAGATCGAATCCACGTGATGGAGTGAGCTCCCGTCGCTTGTCCCAGCTCCTGCCAAACTAGCAGTTCGAAAGCATGCAAATGCAAGTAGATAAATAGGTAGCACCTCGATGGGAAGGTAATGGTGTTTCGTGTCTGGTTATGCTGGCCACATGACCACGGAAGATTGTCTTCAGACAAAATGCTGGTTCTATGGCTTGGAAACGGGAATTAGTACCGTGCCCTAGAGTCGGACATGACTGGACTAAATGTCAAGGGCAACCTTTACCTTAGAGATAGGGGTATTGTATTTGCATATGAATATCCAGGACTAAATGTCAAGGGCAGCCTTTACTTTAGAGATAGGGGTATTGTATTTGCATACGAATATCCATGCACAGCTGGACATAACGAGGGTCTGGCTCCTGGGGCTGGACCATCCACTCATCTGTCTGGTGGTGGGCCCGCTCATCCTTCTAATTGCACCAGAGCATTGCTCTGGCTCCTGGGGCCAGACCATCCACTCATCTGTCTGGCGGTGGGCCTACTCGTCCTTCTAATTGCATCCGGAGCACTGCTTTTTCCTGCTCGGCTAGCCACTCCAGGCAGGGGGAGGAAGGACGAGTCTCCCCACACGGCTGCCGAGTGGCCAGCTGAGCGGGAAGAGAGCAACGCTCCGGGCATGATTGGAAGGATGAGCAGGACCCACCACCGCCTCCAGATGTACGAGGGAACTGTCTGGCCCCGGGGGCCAGACCCTCATTAAGTGTGCCTATGTGGGGATATTCGAATTTGCATGCAAATACCCCTATCTCTAGTTCTCACCTATAAAGCCCTCCACAGCTCACTACCTGTCAGAGCACCTTTATGGAAGAACATCATCCTGCGCCCCCTGATCCGCACAGGCTATGCTTCTATGGAGAGCTCGAAAATCATCCACTAGAAGCAGGGCCTTCTCGGTTGTGGCACCATCGTTATGGAACAGGCTCCCGGTGGGGCTGCACTTGGCCCCCTCCTTCCTTGCCTTTAAGAGGATGCTAAAAACTAGGCTAATGTTTTCTTAGATTCTGCTATTGTTTAAGTTAATTTGGCTTTTTGCACTGTGGTATTATTTGTTGATTCCTCCGTTATTTCTGTTTTATTTGAGAATTCTATGCCTTTTATGTGATTTTTGTTGTTTCTTAAGCTGCCAAGGGTAGCGCCAAGCGCTAATTTGGATGGTATGCCAGCCTTGGAAATGAACAAATAAATCACTTTCCCAAAAGAAATAGAGAAGAGAGCTGCAGGACCTACTTTGGGTTCTTGGCGTTTTGGGAGTGATTGGCGGTGGGCTCAGAATTGTGGCTTGCTGGAGTGACGTGTTCTGAAGCAATGAGAGTCTGCTCTCCCCCAGCTGGAGACTCTTTGGTCTGGGTGCTTTTCCTGATGCATTCTGAAAGGGCAGACATGGAGAAGATGAAAAAAATGTCAGTGAGGGTGCTGGAGATGGTCCTATGGGATTAGAATCCAGCCAGACCCCACCCCAGTGGTCTAGGAAACCTCTGTGTAGAAAAACAGGCCACTGAAGAACTTGGATGAGAAATGTTAAAAGCTGTAGGTTGTTGATCCTAAAGCATTCCAGTAATATCGTATAAAGGAAGCAAGTCATCTTTTGGCCAGGCTTGGAAAAGCTGCTTTCTGGACTACGTGTCCCATGATCCCCCAACAAATACAGCAAGGGTTACTCTGTGAGCCATGGTATCAACAAATAATTCCATGCTCTGCATTTTGGGCATTTGACTAAATGCCTCCAAAACATTAAAGATCAATCAACAGCTGGATTGTACCAAAGGTACCTTCAGCATTGATTTCTGTTCCTCGGCACATCAGGGGAATATGGCGGGAGGGCTCTTTTGCAGACCCTGGCGTAGGCCAAGTGGATGTGCATCATAAAGCAACTCAGGGAGGACTTTGCTTTCGGTATGTAGGCAACTGCTGAGCCATTCTATGGAGGGATCACACGATCTTTGTTGATTCCTCAATATTTTGTTTTATTTGAGACTTCTATGTCTTTTGTATTTGTTGTTTCTTTTGATATAAGCTGCCAAGGGTAGCGCCTAGCACTAATTTGGATGGTATACAAGTCTTGGAAATGAACAAATAAACCACTTTCCCAAAAGAATTAGAAAATAATTCCTGCAGGTTAAGAGGACGCAGTGCAACCTTGGTGGGAACTAAACGTGAGTAAGATGGCTACACTTTAAATGTCCCTTGTCGCTTGAGCGGGACGAACAGAGAGGATGGGTTGTGCCATAACACATATCAGAAGCTCTGGCCACAGTGGACTAAGCGGTGGCCAACGGAGCATAAATATACGGAAAGCTCTTCTTTAATGAATTGAATTGTCACATTTGTATTCATCACATTCCAGCCCCCTCCCTGTTTTTAACAACCCTGTAATTGGCCTGTGTGGGAAACAGAAAGAGATAAAGGTTCCCGGTGGGAATTAATCATTGCAACTCCTTCATTACCGTTTTGGGTGTGAGATCAACCTCTGGCTCCTTGCCTGCAATAACCTGAGATCGGCTGAGGCTCCGGTCCTTCCGCCTGAATCTATTCGTTGGGGTCCCATTGTCATCTTTGGCAGGGACGTCTTCCAGCCTGAAGGACACCGAACCCTTTTCTACGAGTGGCTCAAGAACAGACCTGTAAGGCCGGACAGGAAAACAGTCACAGAGGATTACCTCTGTCCTCTCTCATCACCCCGAGAAGAACGCCATTGACTTGTCTCGCAGTGACAGGAAGCCCTCTGACAGGTCAGCCCCTGGAGAGGACCAGTCAGGCACTGGGAAGATAAAAGACCTTTCCCTGCATATTTAACCCTCCTTTGCTGGGATCAAACAAACAAACCAAAAACCCCAACACACTTGCATGGTGCAGTTGAATGTGGTTGTTGTTGTTTTTAACTCCAAGGAGGATTTCAGTGCATTGTGGCATGTCGAAACATTACACATTCAAACGAGTGTTTGTGTGCTGAATCAACAGCATTCTGCCTGAATATTGGCACATAGAAAACACAGGGCGGAATTACAGGAAAATACTAATCAAATCAAATGGAACAGAAAAAAATACACCATTCACAAAATGTGTAAATAATAGCGTAATAAACCACAGCAAAACCCACCAACGACTCTTCAACCCTTGACTTCACTGATGACTGCACAGAAACACAAATTCACTATGCAGCATTTCCATGGGCAAATGAGAATTCAGCCTTAATTTATGCATAAAGAACTATGATTAAGAAAACAATTTTCAAGGATCTTATGAGGATAATACAGGAGGATCAGGAGGGGGACATGTACACCATGTGGAGCATGTCGGAGGAAATGTAGCCTATCAACGTAACTAATAAATGCTATCAGCATCCTGGAGAAATAGGTTGCAGTGTTTTTAAAGCATTAACCAGGACATGATCTCGCATCTCATGGGGTGGAATAAACTCAGAAGAAATCTTTTCTATGTGCTACTTCCTTTGTGACAAACAAATTAATGCGTCAACCTGATCCTTTTATCTTCTTTGTGTCATACGGAACAGAGATCCTTTGGGTTTTGTCTCAACAGCAGAAAACGCGCGACGGATCCCACCACTCACCCATCTGATCCAGGCCTGGAGGAAGTGCTCTCTGATGAGGTAGAGGATGTCGATCCCACAGAGGAAGTCACCGAGGTCACCGAGAGCCTCCGCAGAGTAGAGGACATGATGTAAGGCAAAACCATGGACCCCGACCGGCTCTGTTTTCTCTCTGTCAGTGAAGAAGGCTGGGAGTTGGGGCACAGAGAAGAAAGTAGAAAACTGGAAGGAGGTTCATTTTCAGGGACAGAAAGCAGAGTGACACTCTAATCCCCAAAGCTACAGCAGTGTGTTGAGCTGTGACTTGGGAGAGCCAATTTCAAATCTCCACTATGCCATGAAACTCTCTGGACCACCTTAGGTCAATGACCTCGGTCAGATCTACCTCAAGGGCTGTTGTTGGGAGCAAAAATGGGCCAATCGGCCAGTTTCACTCTCTCCAATATTCAAATGTTTCTCCTTTTTGGCAAAAATGAACTGAAAAGAAAACACATCTACGGCATCTTTAATTTAGAGGGAGGCGAAGGATACTCATTAAGCTCCTTGCCCTCATTGATTTAGCCATCTCCGCAAGGTTTTCTGAAATTCCAGCTGAGAGTGAGGGAAAGCTCTCTCCTCCTTCAGATCTCGGTGGTTTGTACAAAATACACACACAACTAGTGTCCTTTGTCCTTGATGAGGAAAGCGCGCACACACAGGCAGCACAGAAAGACTGGCTGATGGTTAAGAAAGAAGAAATGAACTCATCTAAAGCTTAACATAGATTGTTGTTCATCCTTCTAAGCAGGGGCCAGTTTGACTCTGCTTTTGCACAAAATTCCTTTGTACATCAATGGACAAAAGCAAAAGCGACAGAAAATATTACAGTTCTTTCCCTACATCTGTGAAGACTAACAGAAACAAATATGAGCAGCTGTAGGATAAACAGGGAGGAGTGCTTTATAAGCTCCCTTGATCTTTGTGGAAGAAATGAGAGATGTAAATGTAACTCATAATAGTAAACAACTGTCACCTTTGGGGCAATATTAGCATTGATGTGTCCTTTTACTCATCCACCAAATCCCATCTTTGAGAATACACAGATTCAGTACCTCTTCATTTATTTCATTCTCATAGGCATTTCTCCTCTTCTAAAGGTGAGATTAGAAGAGTTTTGTGCAATTTTTTTGCATTTTGGGACTAGTCTTTGCAAAAGGGTGTTTTTTGCTGGAAAAAAACTTGCATTTTTCACAAATACTTCCCTTTATTTTCAAAATACAAGGTGATAAATCAGCATGCATTTTAAATGCAAAATACAAGGATTTGGGTGCAAAATAAAACCCGACCTTCTATTTTTGCTAATGTTGTTGTTGTTGACAAAAAAAGGCCCAGTCTTTTCATTCTTGAGCTGGACGGGGAAAAAAAAGTCTTGCAAAGCTTGTCAGTTTTTCAAACCAGTGCCTCAGTGTGTTCAGACATTCTTTGTTTTATTCTGTTCTGGTCTGTATTTCTCAAGGATGAGAACATTTCTGAGTATTCATGATACCCTTATTCAGTGCTATAGCTTAGTCAGAACTGGCAGCTGATGATTTTTCACACTGGAATATGCAATTTCTCCATCACCACTGCCCACCAAACTTTTCCTCCAGTCATGACTAGAGATGGACACAAACCGCCAGTTCAGTGGTTCATGAGGATTCGTTTACCGGCCAAAGAGATGTTCAACTCTTACCAGTCTCACCTCCTCCAGCAGGCACCCATTCAGAAGCAGCACCCAGAGAAGGCAGACAGGGAAGCCTGGGTGCTTTGAGCGGGCGACTGCTGGAGGAGGCAGGACTGGCAAGAGTTGAACATCTGTTTGACTGCGACACGAACCAGCACAAACTGCCGAACTCACAGTTCACGCCCATCTCTAGTCAGGACTGCATTCCAAAGCAGTTCACTTAGAAGCAATCTTAATCAGGGGGCAATGCTTACCAGGGTTATGACACCGTATCGTTTCTCCATTTTCTCCCTCAGCTCCTTGAAGCAGGAGGTCAGTCGGTCATGAAGAGGCTTCAGTTGTTCTGTCAGCTTCTTTCCATGTATCCTAATCCCTTCCGCTAGCAAAGGCATCTGAAAACGAAGAGGGAGAAGATATGGTAGATTCTGGCAGGTACAATTTGCGCACATGCAAACACCAGGAAGAGAAGTCTTCTTTGTGACCAAGCTTCCAGCATATCTTAGACAATCCATTCAAGGACCAAAATCCTGCTGTAAATTGCACTGGAGAAGGTCCATTGAATCAATGAGGATTTGGTGAACTAACTCCTCCATAGGCTCCATTGATTCAAATAGGTGTAATTCTAACTCATTTTACTATACTAAAGTCACTTGCAGTTCGAGTAGGCCCATTTGTATCAATGGAACTAACAGGGAAGTTGACTCACCAAATCCTCACTTGATTGTATGTGCCTAACTGAAGTGTAATTTTCTATGCCAAGCAACAGGATTAGGGCCTCTGACATCACCAACAAGAGCCTGTTGCAATTAGAATTAAAGGATTCTGATCCCAGCGTTCCAACTCCTCCTAGCATTTGTTGTAATCCCAAGATTTTGTTATTTCAGCAACACAGTGGTGCCTCGCATAGTGAGTGCCCCATTTAACAATGAATCCGCATAGCGATGCGGATTTAGTGATCGCAAAAGCGATTGCATTGCGACGTTCTGAATGGGCGAAAATCGCATTGCAATGATCTGTAAGCGTTTCACTTACCGATCTTCGCGTTGCGATGTTTCCCCAACAGCTGATTGGTGGTTCCAAAATGGCCGCTGGATGAAGAAAATGGCTGCC